CTAATGGCTGCAAGTTTCTTTTTGCGGGTGATGAAAACATTCTGCAAGTAGGGGTTGCTCAACCCTGTGAATTACAGAAAACCACTGAACTGGTTATTTTAAAAGGATGAATTTTGTAGTATATGAAATCTCTCTCTCTCTCTCTCTCTCTTTTTTTTTTTTTTTGACAGGCAGAGTGGACAGTGAGAGAGAGAGACAGAGAGAAAGGTCTTCCTTTGCCATTGGTTCACCCTCCAATGGCCGCCGCAGCCGGCCCACTGCGGCCGGCGCACCACGCTGATCCGATGGCAGGAGCCAGGTGCTTCTCCTGGTCTCCCGTGGGGTGCAGGGCCCAAGCACTTGGGCCATCCTCCACTGCACTCCCTGGCCACAGCAGAGAGCTGGCCTGGAAGAGGGGCAACCGGGACAGAATCCTGCACCCCGACCGGGACTAGAACCCGGTGTACTGGCGATGGTAGGCAGAGGATTAGCCTATTGAGCCGCGGTGCCGGCCTGAATTATATCTCAATAAAACTATTATTTAGAAAATAGAAAGGGGCTGGTTTTGAAGCACGGCTGGTTAAGCCACCTCTTGGGATGCCTGTACCCATATAAGAGAGCTGGCTCAAGTCCCAGCTTCTACACTTCTGATCCAGCTCCTTGCTAACGTACCAGGGAAGCAGCAGATGGTAGCCCAAGTACCTTATTTCCTCCCATCCACGTGGGAGACCTGGATGGAGCTCCTGGCTTCAGCCAGCCCAACCCTAGCTGTTGTGACCATCTGGGCGGTGAATCAGAGGATAGAAGATTGTGCGCTCACTCCCCTCCCTTCCCTTTCCCTTCCCTCCTCTCCCCTCTCCTCTCCTCCCCTCTCCTCCCCTTTCCTCCCCTTCTCTCTCCTCTTCTCTCCTCTCCTCCTCTTCCCTCCCCTTCCCTCCCCTCTTCCTCCTCTCTCTCTTCTTTCTCTCTGCCTTTTAAATAAATACATAAATAATAATTTATATTTTAATATAATTATAAATAATTATATTTTAATATAATAAATTTTTAGTATAATGGAAAAAGGATGTTATAGAAACAGGGCAAGAAGTGATAAAGGTGTAAAAAGGGCAGTGGTAAGGCAGGCATTGTGGTGCAGGGGTCAAGTTGCTGGCTGGGGTGCCCACATCCCATATTGGATTGAGTTCTGGCTCTGCTGATCCGGCTTCCTATTCATGCACACCCTGGGAGGCACCATATGATGGGTCAAGTACTTGGGCCCCTGCTACCCACACAGGAGACCCAAACTGAGTTCCCAGTCTCCTGGATTTGACCTGACCCAGCCCTGGCTGCTGTAGGCATTTGCAGAGGGAACCAGTGGATGGAAGATCTCTCTCCATCTGCCTGTCTCTCTCTCTGTCAAATAAAATGAAAAGAAATAAAATGTAAAAGAGTATGACACTGATGATTAAAAGGGACTGGAGGGAACTCCAGGTGTCCCTAGAGAGGCTGTGTGATATTTGTTTATTTGAGAGGCAGAGTGACAGAGAGAGAGAGAGAGAGAGAAATATCTTCTATCTTATCTCCTGGTTTACTCTCCAAATGCCTGCAACGGCCAAAGCTTAAGAAGGCCAAAGCCAGGCTCCCAGAACTCCATGTAGGACTCCCTCGTGGGTACTAGGAACCCAAGTACCTGGGCCATCATCTGCTGCCTCCCAGGCATATAGTGAGAAGTTGGATTGAAACCACACAGTAGCTAGGAGTTGAACTGCGTACTCCACTACGGGATGCGGGCGTCCCAAGCAGTGGTTTAACTGCTGGGCCACAGCTCTGGCCCGTTTCCTCCTCTTAAAGCGTGAAGATGAGGCCCTATGCTTTTTAGGATAGTTGAGATGATAAAACGGGACAGCATGTGCAGTTATGTCCTCTAAATGCATCACTGGGTCTAACTAGAGTGAATTTTCACAAGGACCTTGGTAAGCATTTCCGAGTTTTAGCACTAATACATGGAAACCTATTTTCGTTTTGCAATTCGTTATTGCTTTATTTTGAGCCCTTTCTAACCTCTCTATTGTCTGTGGTGACCAAAACAGGAAATGACCTTCATGAAAGAGAGTTTCTCAGACTGCAATACTGGGGAAAGGTTACTCACTGTCCCTCATTCCCTGTTAAAATATCCATGTTATAAAAGTAATGTCACTTCTTCATAGAAATTTTGGAAAAGAAAGAAGGAATATGGTCTATAATTATATCAGTTAATAGTGATTTTTTGGCTACACATCTGGTAATTAATGTATATCTTATGTACCTTTATATACATATATAACCAGATATAAATATGAATTTTTTTCTTCTACATTGTCTATCATCGTTCCAAGTCTTTAGTACCTGACTCATAGAACTGTGGATCTTCAAAGCTTAGCATGCTGTCTGGTGCATTGTTTGTGTGATAAGTGGGCACTAGTTATTATGATGTGACATCTTCCGTGGTTTCTATTATCTCCTTATGGATGCCCAGAATGGGTTTGCCTAATCCCTTAGGCACTATTTTTTTAAAGATCTATTTTTTATTTATTTGAAAGGCAAAGTTACAGAAAGAGGAGGAGAGACAGAGAGAGAGGCCTTCCATCCACTGGTTCACTCCCCAGATGACCACAACAGCTGGAGCTGGGCTGATCTGAAGCTGGGAGCCATGAGTCTCCCATGTGGGTACAGGGGCCCAAGGACTTGGGCCATCTTCCGCTGCTTTCCCAGGCCATTAGCAGAGAGTTGGATCCAAGTGGAGCAGCCGGGTCTTGAACTGCTGCCCATATGGGATGCGGGTGTTGCAGGCTAGGGCTTAACCTGCTACGCTGCAGTGCTGGCCCCTCCCTCAGGCTCTTGTAGCACCTGCCCCACAGCCAGTAAAAGGGCCCTTCCGCCCAGCAAAGCCCTCAGCACCACAGAGAATCTCACTGCCCCTCCTCTGCACTTCGAGGTCCCACCCTTTTTAGGTTTAGGGAGCTAATTGAGTAGTAAGAGATGTACCCCATTGTTTTGATTTTCACTCTTTAAATACCGCCTGTGTTGAACACTTCTGTTGTATGTTGACTAGCAACGTTCTCTCTTTCTGTGTCTAGACCTCTTTCTATGTAGCTATTGGAACTGGGTAACACTTTCCTGCTGGGTCACCTGGGCTCCTTAATAAAGACATGAACGCTTTGTCATATGATTGTAAGTATTTTCCTGACTCCTCTTAGCCCGGCTGTTGTCTTTTCTTCTTTTAATTGCTACACATCCACGCAGTGTGAACTGTCTGCTGTCTGTGGCAATGAACTTTCTCAGCCTCCACGCCAGGTCTGATGATTGCACCTTGCCACTCTGCGTGGTTACACAGACTCCTAATGTCGTGGGTGCACAGGTCTTTTATGGTACGGAGCAATTTGTTTACCACGGAGACCTAAGTCTCAAATACACAGCCCCCGCATAGATCCGAGAGCACGTTTCCCACGTGCCGGGGTCTGAACACGGGTGGTCCCCTCTGACACTCGTGCTCACATGTACTCCCCGTTGTGAACTACCAGGAGGCAGGACCAGGAGGGACCTGGAAGTCGTTAGAGCTCTGCCCTCGTGAGTGGACGGCTGCATTTGTGCCACTGACAGATGTTGTGGGCACGGGGCTCTCAGTGCGGGTGTGCTGCATGGGCCAGGTTGGTTCCTGGCAGAAGATACTCAAAGAGTGAGGGGGAGTCAGGGGGAGGCAGCGTCTCTGTTTCTGCCTCTGAGGTTGGCGGGGCCATGGGGCCAGGAATGGGGGCAGCCTCAAGGAGCTCTGGGAACAGTGGTCCCACAACCACAGTGAACTGAATTCTGCCTGCTGTGGTGCAGCCCCTCCCAGTCTCCTGTGAAAATGTTGTCTGCATTGTGCGAGGCACGGAGTGGGGGTACTGCATCTGACGGGGCGCTCAGGACTGGATGAGGTCATCAGGGAAGATACCGGGGTGGAGACCAGAGCACACACGCACACGCGTGCCCTGTCTCCCACCACGCGCCGCTCTGCACAGCCTCGGGGCGCTGGTGGCAGGAAGGCCATCGCCCCGTGTGGCCCCTCCACCTGGGACCAGAACCATGAGCCTAGAAAAACGACTTGTCACCTTCCCACTCTGTAGTATCTCTATTAGCAACAGAAAACAGACTAAGATGCTCTGACTTAGGGAATGGGGCAGGGAAGAAAGGCACGGACACAGCTTTGGCTTGATTGTTGCACGGACACAGCTTTGGCTTGATTGTTATCACACTGTAATTTGAGCTCTTTGTGACTGGCGTCTTGTAGATGGCCCTTCTCCTTGCTCTAGGACTGGTGATTCTGAGACATCACGGCCAGCCATCCAAGGCCTCGGCCACATCCTCTGAACCCTCTGCCACCCGCCTCCTCCTGCCAATCTGGTCCATGGAGACTTCTCTCCCTGCCTGTCAGTGAGCAATCCCAACAGCCACTGGTCCCGTGCTGAACTGGGGAGCCTGTGTGGGTGCCCTTGGCATTGCAGGGCAGGTCTGGGTGACAGCTCAGAGAACAGCCTCAGGTACCACGGATGGAGGCAGAGGCCACCGTGGCTGGATTTTAGGGCAGAAATCGGGGTTTGCGCTTCCTCTTGGAGGAAGTGTTCCGTGTCTTGGGCTGATGAGTTGGCTCTGGCACGGTCTGAAAAATGGGTCCCAGGCTTCAGCGTTACGGGGGAGATAGCAGTAGGAAGCTGGCCTTGGAACTTTCAGGCACACGAGTCTGATGAAAAGGGCAAACCAGAGGGGAGTCTCAGTCAACTCCAGGGGTCTCCGGGGTTCTCTCACCTTGGACCCTCACTTGAGCCTTATTCTTGGCTTTTGCCGCGCTCTGTGCCCCCTCGCTGAAGGGCCCTGGTCTGTGTCACCATCAGCCTCTGCATTAAGGGCTGGGAGAGAACCCAGGCAGCTGACGTGCGAGAGGAACAGGGCCACACAGGGCTCCCGCGTGCCCGTGGCTGGCAAGGACGATGGCACACAGAGACGTGACGCTGGCGTCCGAGTCTAGATCTATAAATATATTTATTATAATATAACAAGAACTTAACAATAAACATATACTATGTACAATACCATTACAGAGAACCCTGTTTTCTATCATTCACAGAAACAGCCAGTTTTGCTCCAGTGTGATCGGTGAGCAGAGAAACGGAATTGTGACGTCATCCGCGCTGAGTCTCGCTGACCAGTAGCACCTCCTTCGGAGGCAGACGCACAGCAAGGCTAGCGCTAGCCCTGCCCCAGGCAGTTAGAAACTTGTGCTCCAATCCTTGGGTTCACACTTGCACCCTGTTTGACATAAATACTTTAAATGACATACAATGTATGTAGTTTTGTGCTTATTACTTTTTTTTAAAATAATAAATAATATTAAAAACTGCATAACGAAGCTTGGGATCTTGTCCAAGGGGGAGCCACACTTGCGGTGCTGCTGGACGCGGACGCCCGGCCTGTGAGCCGGCGGGCGGGGGCGGGGGTGGGGGGCCAGTGCGTCCTGTCTTGGTCTCCCTAGAGACGGCCCTCAGCGTGACACGGTGGCAAGTTGACTTCCCAGATAGAAAAATGGTAAATGCATATTTGGTACCAACTTCAACTGAACAGCGCGGCGGCGGCGTTCTCCCTGTCCTGGGGTGGAACCGGGCACCCGGTGAGGTTTGGAGGCTGAAGGACCGGCGGGCAGGCCTTTCTCTTCCGAGCCGCGCCGTGGACTCCCTCCTGGCGTCCCTTTCCTCAGGCGAGTTTGCAACAAGAAGAGGGCTCCTGCTCCTGCCCCTCGGGCCTCGGCTGTCATGGCTCATCCCCCTCCTGAGAGCTGTACGGCAGGTGCCTCAATATATAGCTATGAATATCAAAAATAGTCTCCTGTGCTCTGTAGGCGCGTCTTCTCCCGCCCGCCCGCCCGCCTTCCCTGCCCACTGGCCTAGGCCCTCAGCTTTACCTCGTGGAGGGAGCTGGACACGTGTCGCGAGCCAGAGCGTGTCCCTTTTGGAACACTCTTCGTCCTCTGACGATGCCTCCACGAGGCACGGCTTTCGTGGGGGCTGTCTGGGAGTTACTTTTTCTAAAAAATAAACAGGGGGCATTGCCCACCCCAGGAGAGATCCTCTATTCTGCACATAGAAAAACAGAGAGCAAACGCCCCCCACCCCGGCCCCACCCGCAAAGAGCTTTGGGAATTCCCACACGGTCCTCCCGCCGGGGCCTCCTCCTCTCTGTACTTAAAAATAGCCTCTTGTTTATCAAGAAAATGCCTTGGAAATCTAAATAATTCATAGCGGGTAAGAGAAAGCCAGCACAGTCCCCTCGTCCTCCCGCAGCAGAACTGCATCGCAGTGACGGGGGGAAACCTGCGAGGCACGCACACAGCTGTCCCCAGCCGGCCGGGCCCTGGGGCCGCCACCCACGGCTCTGCACCGGGCGGCTGCACTTCTCCTCCGTCCCCGGTGGGGACCAGCAGCCCCCTCGGCCTCGTGCTGCACGGCACCGTCCCTCGTTTTCTCTCGGCCACCGACAGTGTAGAGTGGTTAAAAAACAAAAGTAGGAATCAAAGTGATAAGGACACTTTGATCTTATTCCAAGAGAGCCTGATGCCTAATAGCGTCCTAGGATAACTGACCTATGGTGGTTCAAGGATCAAGCTTGCTCTGCGGGAAGGGGGGAAAAAAACCAAAAAACCAAAACCGGCTTCTCTCTCCCAGTTGAAAAAATAACGTGAACTCTATTGCACCGGGCAGAGCGAGCGCCTCGGCAGGAGCCGGCGAGCCCGGCGCGGCGGCCTGCTCGCGGTTCCTGCTGTTCGGAGGCGAGGATGATTTCCTACATTCAATGTAGACAGTATTCGAAATGTTTAGTGCAGTGAGTTCCTGGATTGTGTCTTGTCGGCCTCTTCGTGGTGTGGCTGAAGACCCGTGCGCAGCCCCGTGGCGGGCTCCGGCCCAGGTCAGCCGCTCTGGATGTACTTTTTTATCACGACGCAGCCGTGTCTGAACACGGGGCAGGGCATGTGGGGGAGGAGGGCCCACGTGTTGGTGGCCGGCTCGTAGGCCTCCATGTTGCCCAGGGCGGGCCCCTCGCTGCTCACGACGCCCCCGGTTGCGTAAATCTTGCCATCCAGCACCACGGCACTGTCAGGGGGGAAGCAGGCAGAGAGTCAGGCGCCGGACCTCGGCCTGGGCCCTGGGGGGAGCCTCCCAAAGCTGGGTCCCGCTGTGCGTGGGCGAGGGCACCTGGCTGCCCTTCTTGGCCTCTCATGGAACCTGCTACCAGAACAACTCTTTTCCTCCAGGACCCCACCCTACACGGTGCCACCTTCCACGTGCCAGCCCCGCCCAGTGCTGCAGGAGGGCCTCTGGGTGCTGGCGCCTGGCTTGGCTTCCTGGGTCTTTTGGGTGCCAGGTACAGAGCCTGCCTGCCTCTCAGATCGAGCTGGGAACACAAGAGTGACAGGAGACGGGATAGTAAGGGGCTCGGCTGCCACTGGACATCAGCCACCGGGATGGGAGTCCTGCCCGGGCCCACGCGCTTTTCCTGCTGTGTCTCCCAGATGGGTGTGGCCTGCGGCCACTGCCTACACAGGACCTCTGCAGGGCGTGCCTGGACCCCGGCCCTGCGTGCACCTGGTCCTGTTGCCTCAGTCAGTTCCTCCCGCCTCTCCCCCACTTCCGCCCCTGGTGGATTTCGGCTGCCCCTTCACCCCGCCACCCAGGGGTCAGCGCTGGCCCTGGCTAACCTATTTCAGCCACTTCTTCCTGGCCAACCCCTGCAAACGAACACAAGCTTTGCAGAGGCCCCACCGCCTCAGCAATGCCTCACACTGAACAGGTGAACTCTACTGCAAGCCGCCCCTCTGCAGTGCCTCCCCCTACCCCACCCCTGGGCGCTTAGCGCCCCCTTCGCTGCCAGTCTCGCAAGAGCCCCGCCTCTTCCGCACAGTGGTGCCTGCGCCCTGAGAGCACCGCGAGATGGCAGCGGCAAGGATGTGAGAGCTGACAGGTGAGGCGTGAAGCCTGTCTCCTGGCGGTCGGGGCTACCCCACAGAGGGCCAGGCCCCACGACCCGCCGGGAGGAGAGGGTATACAGCTGTGGGCTCCCACATGGAGGAACGGGATGGCCTCAGGCGCCGTCTGCTGTGGAAGCGCTGAGAACGGTCCTGGGCAGGGAGGGAGCGCGCTGGAAGAGCAGGGACAGGTGTCCCCCGGGCCAGGACCCCCGGCTCCTCTTCTTCCAAGCGGGCCTCTGCAGCACCCACCTTAGAGACCCCAGAGCAGCTGAGCCTCGTGCCCCTCCTGGGGCCCAGCCCCTACGGACCACTGGGACAGTGCCTGGACCAGCGCACTCCCCCAAGAACCCACTTGTTCCTGCAGCCCGACTGAGCGGCCTTCCACCTGATGTGCAGGTGGGTCCCGGGGGTTCTGACTTCACCTCTCACCCTTTTCCCGCTGGAGCCACGGGGTGGGGCTTCTGGGCCGCCGGCCACTTTGGGCTACCCCCGGGTGCCCCACAGCCTGCTGGGTGCTCACATCCATCTCTGTGGTTGGAGGGGTTGGCCCGGGCTCCCTCTTGTGCTCAAGCCCCGCCCCTGCCCCGCCCAGCCCTCTCACCTGCAGAACTGGCGGGAGTGATTCATGTTCGGCCCTGCCTTAATGTTTCCCTTCTCAGGGTCGTAGATGGTGGTGGCTCTGGCGTAAGCCCCGCCCAGGATGAACACGAAGCCGTTGAGGGTGACGGCAGGTGCGTACTTGTTGTCTGGGGGCAGAGCAGAGCAGGTGTTCAGGCCTCTGGTCCTCTGTTCAGGCCTCCCCTCCCTGTCTTTCCTAGCAGACCCTCCAGGGACAAGGGCTGCAAAGACCTCCAATAAGTCACTGATGGGCACCCCAGCTGGCCTGCCCATCTCCAGGTGGTGGATCCGTGGGGGTCACCCATTCCTTTCACCCCTGCAGTGTTGGGCTTAGCCTGACTCTGGGCTTGGGGGGTTGAGGAAGGCGGGGGTACCCTGTGGGCTCTGGGCCGAGGAGGCTGCTGGCGCTCACCGATCATTGGGGACTCGATGAAGCTCCACGTGTTGGTCTGTGGGACGTAGGACTGGAGGACGCCCGCTGCCCGGCCGGCCTCGTTCACCCCCCCAAACACGTAGATCTTGCCGCCACACACGGTGGCCGCTGCCGAGTGCACTGCCTTGGGCAGAGGGGCCACTGCCTCCCACTGGTTGGTGATGGTGTCGTACCTGCAGAGAGGAGGGACAAGCCCGGCGTCAAAGATGCGCCTCGAGCCGGGCAGAGGGCACAGCCGAGGCCGGCAGCTTTTGAGGAGCCGCACCGTCTGCTTCCTGGCCTCAGCGTCCCCGGCACAGCTGAGACCACGCCGTGGGGGCACTGGGCTGAGTCGCTCACGGCTTCCTAGGGTCTGCTCAGCGGGGCTCTCCTTGGCCTGCTGCGGGCTCTGTGCAGACTCCTGTCCCTGAACCATTGTTCCCATGGAGCGCCCATCCTCTGGGCCCCTTCTGCCGCCCCACCCCCCCTTTCCATTCAGCAGCTCTGCTCTGAGCAGCCACTGTGCACCCAGGCTCTGGGCTGGAAACTGGGGCAAGCCAAGCACATTCCCTGCCCTTGAGGGGCCTGAAGGAGAAGAGGGCCAAATAAGACACGCACACACACACACACGTACATGCACGCACACATATACAAATACGCACATGCACACATATACACACAAGCGCACTGCACACACATGCATATACACACACAATGACACAGTGCAGCTGACAGGCCAGACTAGAAGAGCTGCACCTGTGCAGAGCCTAAAAGGTGATGAGGGAATGGAGATCAGAGTAGGTGGGCTGGGAAAGCACTGCAGGTGGGGGGAGAGGTGTGGGCCCAGGTGTGGGGAGGACTGGCAGGCGGTTGCAATGGCTGGAGGCAGAGGGCGCTTAGAAGGGCCACGGGTGCCAAGCACAGGGCTTCGGGCTTCATCCAGAGGGCAGAGGGAAGACCTGAAGGTCGCGCACAGGGAATTATGATGATCACATCTGGGCCCCGGCGAGATCACTCTGTGTGCACGGCGGGACCGTCACTGTGGCACGGGGAGACCATCACTGACACTTGGCAGTTACAGGACGCTCCAAGCACCTGACAATGGCTTGGACCAAGGGGTGACCAGAGACGAGGAAGCGGGAGCACAAGGAGCGGTGAGTGGGTAGGGGCGATCATTAACGAGATGTTGCGTTGTAGGATGACTCGGGGCCCCTGGCTTGGGACACTGGATGGAGCAGACACTGCTGGTGGGCGGGGAAGCGAGGCAGGGGAGGAGGGCAAGGTGACTGCAGTTTCCTTCGGAGGGCGTTGAAGGTACCTGCAGGTGACAGAAGGAGGGTGAGTGGTTCTAGATCACACTCAGCTCTCGGGTCACTGGCACGAAGATGGACACCCCAGCTTGGGAGGGTGCTAGGCAGTGCTTGGCTGAGCCAAAGGCTGAGGACAAGCTCTGAAGAGGGGGAGGGGTGAGAGGGCACATAGCGGGCAGCCAGCGGGGTCACAGAGCCAGGGCTGAGCCAGGGAAGGTGAGCACCCCAGGTACAGAGAGCGTGCGAGAGGCCAAGGATCTCAAATAGGGCAAGGGGGTGCTTGCGGACAAGGCGGAATGGGAGGTGCAGAAGCCCTCTGTGTTGGGAAGAGGGCAGAGGGGCTACGCAGCAGAGACGGCGAGAAGGAGGAACCCAGAGAGGAGTCGGATGTGAAGACCGGGGTCAGGTAGGGCGGTGCTGCCAAGTGCCTGGCAGCCAGGGAACACGTCCTCATTTGCAGGTTGGCTGACTTCTAGGGTAGAAGTCCTTGCACCTGCCTAATTTCCAGCAGCCGATGGGATGCCCCTGGGGGAAGAGTGGGGCATGGATGTGCTGCGGTCATCCTGATGCAGACCCTCTACCCTCTACAGGTGCAACGGGCAACTAGAGCTTCAAGACAGAGATGGCTGCAAAATGGAGCCAAACATTAGGAAGCACCGAGTTCCGAATAAGGAATTCCCTTTGGTTTTGATGTATTTAACCGTCAGTGTAGATAGTTTAATTTTTAATAGTAGCTGTGGTTAATGACTGGTTTGCAGAGTTCCTGGCATTTTTTACCATCAGCTCTCACACGTCAGTATGAACTGGCCCCAGCACAGCATAGGTTTTGCTTTAACTTGGAGGGAGGTTTAACTGTGTGTGCATGCTAATAGGAGAGGATGAGGGGAGTACAAACACACAAGAGAGGGGAGAGCTAAGGAGGGAAGGCTCCTGCGGGTGATGCGTCTTGGATCCAGAGTGAGGAGGGGGAGGTGCGTCTCCTCCATTGGGGAAGAGACAGGAAGGCAAGGATGGCGTGAGAGTAGGTATATTTGCATTCGAATGGTGGTGCCATATTCTCTGACACAGGGGTCAGGAGCAGTGAAGGTCGTGGGGGCATCTGTGGAGTGGAGGTTTGAGGAGCAAGGCAAAGAGGAGAGAGGAAGACAGAGCTGCTCGTGGTGGGGGTTGGGAGTGGAGCAATGGTTGACAAAGGAAGCCCAAGATTGCCTGTGGCACTGCAGATCTGGCTGTGCTTGGAGGCCTCCGATGAGCAGTGGGGCCAGGCCACGTGAGGGTGGGGTTTTCTCCATCCACATTCGGCACCCAGGGGCAGGTGTGGGCAAGAGTTGGACTGAGTGGATCTGCCAGACACGTGATGCAGGACAAGGTAGCTTCACGAGAGAAAGGAGAAGTGATGGGACCCGAGCTCCAGATGGGGCAAGGCGAGAGGAGACAGCAGGCAGGGGAGGGAGGGACTGTGGGCCTCAGGGTCTCTGTGAGTGTCCCCTGGGGTCGCCCCAGTGCTCCTCCCTAACTGCTGACTCCCAGCAGGGGGCTCATCCATTGCACATCCCACTGTTCGCTCTCCTCCGTGTGCCTGGACTCAAAGTGGCGGCCTGGGCACCGGCTGGTCGCACCCTGAGCCGTGTTCCTTTTCCCACACACGTCCCTGGGGGAGCGCACTGTGCCCGTCTTTCCCTGTAAGGTTCCTGAGGACAGCAGCTGGGACGTGGTCACAGGCCAGGGCCCCCGGAAAATGGTCTCAGGCAGCCCGTGCCTCTGGCTGTGAGTGTGGGGCACAGGGATGGCCAGGTGGCATCAGGCTCTGGGCTTGGGGTTGAGAAGAGACTGGAGTATCTCAAAGGGCAGCAGAACCTCCGAGCGGACAGAGGGCAGAGTTCAGGTATCTGTTTCTTAAGCCCATACGGCGCAATCCAGAGAGCTCCTCCAGGAGGAGCTGGGCGACTGTGGCCGATTATGTGGCTGCTAGACCTCGGTCCTTGGGGATAATAGCGCATCCTGCCAAACACGAATTTCCTGAGAGCTTGTTATTCCAGGTGGCTGATTGCCAAGGCAGGAGCCCTCCCGTCAGCTCAATCTGTCAGCTTCCTGCTTGAGGAGGATATGCTAATGACATGCAAATGACCCCGCGGAGCGCGCGGCACTCCGCTATCATTTATCCAGTAACCACAGTTACCGCCATATATTGCTATAAAATATTAGACCCAGTTATTTATATAATGATATAATACAGGTTTGTCTATTGCACTGTTGTTTCACTCTATAATTATATAATCTTGCTCTATTCCTGTAATACAGTAATGCAATATAATTATAATACACCATATATCTCATTCATTATCAATATAATAGCAATTTGCACCATTAGCGCTTCCTGGGGAACAAGCACCCTCATGTCTGTCCCCATTACCCTGACCTTCCTGTCACCCTGAGTTCTCATCGTGGCCGCTCTGTGGCACAGAAGTGACTTACCCGAAGGGCTCCAGCCAGGAAGCAGCAGGCGTCCGCTCCCAGCATCCTGCCCCTGGGCACACGCCCGCCACCCCGGAGCCTCCAGGTCTGCGCCCGTCTCCGCAGGACAGCTGGCAGAGCCTGGAGGGCTGGTCCGCGCCTGTTCCCCTTGCTCTGGGCTTCCCAGGGCGCTCCTGCTCACGGGGCACGTGAGCTGACTCCTCAGCCAGCAGGGAGGCCTCGCCCCTGCCCGGCAGGGCTGGCACGGGCAGTCCCCGGGCCCCAGGAACTGCTTGCAGGCTGGAGAGCAGTGGGGTTTGCCTCTACCTCGTAGCTGGTGCGTTTGATCCTCGAACAAATCCCCGTATGTATCAACGAGTATAACTTTGCAAAATGAGTAATCAGCATCTTAGGAGATTAAAAATAACTGACAAAAGCAAGACAGGCTGACATATCCGGCTCAGTTTCCTCCTACACAGAAAATGTCTCCTTTCTTGTGTGTTTATTATTGCAAAGGACAAACGGCTGGAAGCCAGTGCTTCGCGGAGGTTTGGGGCCGCGGGCCACACCGAGGGCCTCCCGTGCCAGGGCTGCTCCGGGCCCTTGCTGGCATCACAGTCGGGGATTCCGGGTGCCCCTGCATCGACACGACCATTGCTGCGGCTACTGAGCCTCTCTGAGCTCCACTGGGGGGAGTTCAAAGCCCGCAGTGAACACTCAGAGCCTGTCTCGCCGGGAGACTGTCGCCGCTGAAACATTTGTCAGATGTCCAATTAGCCACCAAGGGGACAAAATACAAATTGAGGCATATGTGGCCTTCGCGGGCACAAAGACGTCACATGGGAAGACGTGCTCTCTAGTGGCAGCTGAGAGCTGGGCCGGGAGGCAGGATAGGGCGGTGGCCCCAGGGTGCAGGACAGACCTGGAGGGAGGGCTCTCCCTAGCGGTCTCAGCTGTGTTCTGGATTGTTATTTGGGGCAGGGTCAGCCTGACCATCGCTCTCGGCTCTGCTAACACAGTGGAGCTCACTGAGCGCTTTCCTCCCTTTCCCCCAGCTGCTGTTGTCTGCAGGAGTGTCCCTGGCCCCGAGTAACAGGATCATGGTGCTCCCTGCAGAGCAGGGCCCTGGGGAGGGCGACAGCAGAGGGCAGGCATGTGCGCGCGCACACACACACACACACACACGCACACAGAGTCTTGGGCCCACTGGCTTATGTTTTCTTCCGGAGAATTCTAGAGGATTGGCCAGTCGGTGCCTCCACAATGCTGTGTTTGGGCTGAATGGGACGGCGGGAGAAAGGATGGTCCCGAGTGTGAAACCCATAGTCGGCAGGGACAGGAGGCGGTGCCACCAATAGGACCCATGTGTCGGTCCCTAGATCCAGCTGTGCCCCTAAACTCCAGCTCGTCTCTGAGCCGGTGCTCAGTCAGCCTGGTCAAGTGCATCCCATGCCTTTCAGTGACGAGATCTTGGGGCTCCAGCTTGTCCCATACGGTGAGGGGAGGCTGGGACCAGAGCAGCCCATCCCAGGGTGGAGCGGCTGCCATCCTGCCTGCACCTGCCGCATAGCCCACACCTGCCTCCTGCTGCTGTGTTGGCAGAGCCTTGGCTCGTGGCTTTGGGGAGGCCCAGTCACCGGCCCATCACCACCAAGTGGGGAGGAACGATGCTGCGATTTTATCTTGTGTAAGGGGACGCCTCTGCTGTGACTGGCTCCTTACCTCTCCACGTGGTCCACGTTGCCGGCCACGCCAAGCCCCCCGAGGGTGTAGATCTTCCCATCGTAGACCAGGCTGTTGTGCCGGCAGCGGGGGACTGTCATCCTGGAGACGAGGTTCCAGTTGTCGAGCAGGGACATGTAGCACCAGACGTCAGCCAGCGTCACGCCTGACTCCATCCCACCTGTGGGCAGCAAGGGCACAGATGAGAGAGGGCCAGGGTCGGCAGGCCCAGCCCCGGGGTGCCAAGGGCTAGCCCTGCGCGACAGCCACTCTGGGGAGCCCTGCACCGTCTCTCTCGCAGCCCTGAGGAGCCTCACCCGAGAGGTAGATGTTGTCCCCGGCGCTCACGACACTGAAGAACTCGCGGTCATAGAAGGGCAGCGAGGCCAAGGGGTACCACTTGTTATTCTGTGGGTTCCAGCAGGTGACGGCCACCAGTGAGCGCTGGGTCATCCCCACCATCTGACGGCCCCCAACCAAAACGATGACCTCGGCCACGCCTGCGGGGACATGGAAAGGCACCCTTGGGACACACTCCGACGCTGGCAGCACCCGTGCCTGGCTTCTCCCCTGGGGCCCCACCTAGAGGCGGGCTGACCCCACGGCACCTGTATTTGGAGGGGGGCGGTTCGCGTCCCTCGATACCTGCCGAGAGGCGGGGCCGGGTTCTGGGCGTCTGCATCTCCTGGCGGGCGTGGGGCAGCATATGGTAACGCTTGGCTTCGTTGACCAGGTCCCGACACGCTTCTGACGACTTGATCAGCTCCTCATTGTCTACCACGTTGAGCAGGTAGCTGGGGTGGATGAAGGGCAGGCGGACGGCGGCCAGCAGCTCCGCGGCATACTGCGGCACAGAAGGGACACGGGGCGGCCGCTCTTAGGCTGCACATAGGGAGCTGCCTCTCGGGGGTCGTGGCAAAGGCAAGGCGAGGCGTGGGACTGCACCAAGGTGCATCGTTCCAGCAGGTGTGTGGCTGGCGGTGTGCACGCTCTGCTCTGCCCGGCCTCGGCAGGTCACGGGAGCCCCAGTGAGCTGGGGAAGCAGAGGGGCGGAGGCCACTGGCCCTGGGGGCTGACAGGGAGTCCCTTTAGCTCTTTGTTCCCAGGCTCTGCCCAGGCCGTGAGCCCTACTGCATACCAGACTGCCAGGAGGCTAAAAGGAGAAGGGCTTGGCGGTGCCGAGACCGATGAGCCCTGGCCTCTGACCTCCAGGTGTCAGGTCAGCTCTGTGGCACAAAAGCACCAGGGGTGGGGCCGGTGTCGTAGCGTTGCTGGCAAAGCCGTCACCTGCGATGCCGGCATCCCATATGGGCACTGGTTTGAGTCCTGGCTGCTCTACATCCAATCCAGCCCCCTGCTAATGCACCTGGGAAAGCAGCAGAATGTGGCCCAAGTCGTTGGGCCCCTGCACTCATGTGGGAGACCTGGATGGAGTTCCAGGCTCATGGTTTTTGCCTGGGCCAGCTCAGGATAATGTGGCCGTGTGGGGAGTAAAACAGCAGAAGGAAGACCTCTCTCTCTCTCTGTGTCTCTGTCTCTCTCTGTAATTCTGACTTTCAAACAAATTAATACATGAAAAAAAAAAGTAGCGGGCACAGGAGGAGAGTGCAGGCAGGGCTGGTGTGGGTGCCGTGGTACGAGGTGGCACCCAGTGGGTGACGCTGGCACTGGGGCGAAGGTCAGCAGCTGGCGCTGGGGCGACCCTCAGAGCTTACACAGATGCAGCAGAGTGGAAGCAATCGGTGCATGGGGGAAGGCAGGGCTTATTTCCATTGGATGCAGAAGGTTTTTGCTGTGTGTGTGTTGGGGGCAGCGCGGGGAGCAGCGAGCCTCAGAGGCCAGAGCCTAGCTGACCTTCGGTGACACTGGCAGGGACTGGGTGGTTTAGGCTGTGCAGTTGATGAGGGAACTCGGGAGAGGTTTTAAGCAAAGAAATCATGTGATCCGACTTGCTTTGTAGAACGAGCACTGAGGCTGGGTGCTGGGGAACGCATTTGGAGAGAGAAGGCTGAAGGCGAGGAAGCCACTGTGGAGCCGGGGGCGGGGGTGCTGCGTGGGGAGAGGGCGTGGCCCCCAGGGGAGCGAGGAAGGAGGACTGTGAATCCCAGGGCTAATGAGGATGTGGGAAGAATCCAGGCTGTGTCCTGGGGATGGGCAGGACGCAAACACAGAGCCTGGGATGAGCGGGAGAGGCTCGGGGGGCCTCGGCTGGAAGTGTCCTGGGCTCGGGAGAAAGTTCCAGGCCGGGCACACGGATCTAGGAGTCCTAGCGACTGTGGCGGTCACTCCTATGACCTGCCCAGCCCGGCCCAGCCCAGCCTCCTCCCTCTGGAAGAAACCTTGCCTCGTCCCCACCGGATCAGTCCGGGGACCTGGCCGCATGCTGCACCAGGCGAGTGTCTGCCCCCTGCGTGCCCCCAGCATGACTGTCCCTGGCACCTGGCCACGCTCTCGTTTTTGTCCCTCTCGATGAAACACACACCCCCGTGGCACTGGCCACTCTGCTGCCCCCGCTCACTCTGGATCTGGCCTCCCTGCCCCACTCTTCCTGGTCATCCTCCCTTCTGGGCACTGTGGTCCCCACCTGCTGTTCTCTGGGGCAGCCTCGGCGCTCCTCAGAGTCCCCCTGTGGCTGCACGGATGCCTGGGCTCCTCACAGGTGAGAGCCGAGTCCCTCCCAGCGGCTCCTCCAGCTCGAGGTCCACCGGGTGTGCACGGACCCAGGAGCTCCCGTGGCCCGGTGCCCCCCTGGGGATACTTGCTTTCCTGAACTCCAACTCGGATCCCTCCAGCTGTCCACTCTGATGCTCTCTCCTGTCCTGTGTGCTGTAGCTTCCCTCCGGCCCATCCAGGCACCCTCTACCCCCTCAAGAATCGGAATATGCCTCGTGGCTCCTCCTGCTTGGCCTGAGCTCCCGGGAGACCCCAGTACCCTGGCTCAGGCACCTGCTTCTCCCCGCAGCACCCCTGTGCTGGCCACCCTGGCCCTGCCACCTCTTGGTCAGTGTGGGTCTCGCTGTGGGTGGAACGCTGGCCCTTGAGGACCCTTTGGTGACTTACGTCCCCCTTGCCCCTCTCTGCTGCCCGTAGGGTGGGACCAGCCTCTCTCTCCCCAGTCTGCTGGCTCTTCTGTGCCCCCTGCTGGTCCTTGCTGCAGACCCCATCACAACGACATGGTGCCTCAAATCCCAGAGAGAAGGGGCGGGGAGCGGGGCAGGGCCTACCTGTGCCCGCGACGCAGGGTCCTTCTTGATCCACTTGATGACCGTCTCGTATACCAGCTCCTCAGCCTTGGTGTTGAGGCTGTCGTTGGAGACGTAGGCGATGAAGTCGTCCTTGGAGATGCTGAGTATCTCCTCCTGGGCCGCCACCTCGGGGAAGATCTGCAGCGCGAAGGCCTTGGCCATGTGGTAGAGCTCACTGCACTGCATGGCCTCGGCCATGGCCAGCACGCCCAGGCAGTTGCTGGCGGTCAGCTGCTTCTCTGGGGGTGAGAGTGCAGCACCAGTGACATAAGGGCCCTAGCAGGGTCGCCTCCTGTGCCCCCCACCTTCCCCTCTCTGAGCCAGGTCCTTGGGACCCTGCTTTAGCACCCAAGGAACCCACAAGCCCACTCCCCGTGTCCCTGAGCCTTGTGTCCACTTCCTGGGGTTTCCGATGCCCTAGCACGTGCTGGCTGTAGGTCCTGCTGGAAGGACCATGACTGGGAGGGATGGAGCGAGTGCCAGCTCAGAGCCTCCTCCTCGGCTGCCGAGGGAGGGGGCTGGCAGGGAGGGGCCGCAGTGAGGCTCATCAGTCTTCAATGATCGTGACGGGCACATCTGAGACCACTGACTCCTAGGAGTCAAGTCAGCAGTAGCAATGCTCACACACCCAACCCACGGTCTCCTGTTGGCCTTCACCTCCCCCGGGGTGAGCCTCCAGATCCTGAGACCTAGCCCCTGGCTCTTGTACCCTAGCCGTGTCTGTTTCCTGGAGACCCGTAACCTGGGGAGGCGCCCCTCTGCTGCTGGGGCTCCCAACTGCTTCTAGATGGCTCCATCCCCATCAGCTGTCCTCACCCGAGGCGCACTGCCATCGCTGACTCAGCCCTAGCTTTTTTTTTTTTTTTTTTTTTTTTTTTTTTTTTTGACAGGCAGAGTGGACAGTGAGAGAGACAGAGAGAGAAAGGTCTTCCTTTGCCGCTGGTTCACCCTCCAATGGCCGCCGCTGCAGCCGGCGCACCGCGCTGAACCTGGCAGGAGCCAGGAGCCAGGTGCTTTTCCTGGTCTCCCATGGGGTGCAGGGCCCAAGCACCTGGGCCATCCTCCACTGCACTCCCTGGCCATAGCAGAGAGCTGGCCTGGAAGAGGGGCAACCGGGACAGAATCCGGCGCCCCGACCGGGACTAGAACCCGGTGTGCCGGCGCCGCAAGGTGGAGGATTAGCCTATTGAGCCACGGCGCCGGCTCTCAGCCCTAGCTTTCTCTGCAGGCTCCACCCACAAGTTCCCTGTCCCTGCCTCTCCCTGCTGTCAGCCAGGCCAGGTGGCACCGATCTGCAAAGTGAGAATGCTCTCTGAGTTGGGGGACCTCGGGGAGCCCCTGCCACCCAGATCCCTACTCCACACAGCAGGCCTGGCTGGCCCAGGGACAGCTCAGGTGTCCAGACATGTCCAGGCAGTGGTGTGGCCCAGGGATATAAGTGAAAGGGAGCACAAATTTGTGGCTGCTTCATTTAGGGCTTGGTGGCCTGGGCCGTGAGGCCAGCCCACGAGCTCTCCCTGCGAGCAGTCTTAGCACAACCTCATGGCCCGTTGGTTCTTGCCAGCCCTGCGCGGGGCACAACGTATGTCTTCCACCTCGAGTACGGAAACGCCAATTCTCATCTTCAAACAGCGGGCGACACCCGGCGTGCACTTGCGAGCGCACGCCCAGCCCTCCCTCTCCGGGGTTTGCCACGCATCTCTTTGCCCCGAGGGTCCCGCGGGCCCTGCAGGCTCACCGAGAAAGGACACACAGACTTTGCAGAAGGTGTGGAACTGGAACTTGCTGGCCGCCTCCAGCAGCGTCTTGGCGTTGGCGGAGTCGATGACCAGGGAGCCCGTGTAGACGAATTCCAGCAGCAGCTCCAGCACATCGGCCTGCAGGTTCGACAGGACCAGCTCCAGCTTCTCCCGGCCGCCCTGGCTGCCGTCTTGTACGGACCTAGGCACAGAGACCGGGTGTCCTCACCTGCCCGTCTCGCGGCCGCCTGCGCCGCCTCCTCACAGGGCTAGATCTCCCTGCACACCTCGGCCACGCCCTCCGCTTGAGGGCACGGCAGTGACACACCTGAACCTAACGACCCGACACGGGATCTGAAAGAGAAGAGTGACCAGAGATGCCCCCAAACAACAGAACCCCTGCTTAGCCCTACTCGCCATGTCCATGCAGAGAAAGATGCAAATCAAAAGGCATGAGCTGTGGATGGGCACGAGGACCAGGACTGGCCTCAAAGGGAAACAATACGGTGCTGCCCACTGCTGGCCAAACGGGGACCTGCAGCGCCGGCCCCGGGCCTCCCCGCCGCAGGTGGCGGATCCTCCTCCCCGAGGCTTCCGCTGATCACCCCGAGACCCAGGGCCCCCCACTGAGCTGCCCGGTCCCCGCTCTGACCCCACCTCTCTCCCCAGACATATTGTTTCCTTTTAGGCATGGAAAGGAAGCCCTTCATGACATTGCTTTAAAACTGAGGACGAGACGAGATAGACGGACAGAATGGTTAGAGCTGGGAAGGGAGAGGGCAACAACCAGGGACTTCCGCCACAGACAGCCAGCAGCCATGACCGGGCCTGGCCCGGGGCCTCCTGCCACATGGAACACGGGGTCAGAGGTCAGAGTGGCCTGCGTGTAGAGTGTGCATCGGGCTTGTGAACTGGGGGGAGCGGGGGGAGGGACACAAATATATCGAAATGTTTATATCTGGTGTCTACAGAGAATACAAAACCATTGCAAAGGCCCCTAAGGCCTGGCAGCACCCTACGGCGGGACCTGGAAGGAAACACATCAGATGAAGCAAAAAAATCACAGCAACACAGACGGGCGGCCAGGAGGAAAAACACCCGAGCGTTAGCGGGGGGAGGCAGGGCTGTCGGAGGCGGTGGCTCGGCCACCCCGGCTTGGCCGCAGAGCCTGATCCTGCCCGGCGCTGGGCTCAGCCACGTGGCTGGGAGGCGACCTCTGCAGTCCACCCACCTCCCGAGGAGGCCAGGGGCTCACGACTCTCCTAACTGGTCTCTGGGATGCACCTGTCGCTGGTAGCCGAGGGGAGGGGGGGAAGGGAGGGTAGACGTGTCCAGCAGGTGGGCGGGCTGGCCCCCGGCGACAAGAGCCTCCTGCTGTGCTAGGGTGTGCGGGAAGGGAGCTAGGGGATCTGGGGGCCCTGGCTCTGCCACTGACCAGCCGGCAGCCGGGGCCTCTCAGGCCCTCAGCCTCCTCTTCTGCAAAAACAAGAGGACTGGGGAGATGAGGTCTAAAGGCCCCTGGAGATGATGGAGGCTGGGAGACGCCCTTCTGCCTGGCCATCCCGGAGACGCCACCACTAGCGCAGCACTGGCTGCCCGGCCTGGAAAACACCGATGCCAGGGCCGGCGGGCAGAGACTGCTGGCTGAGCCCGGCCAGGGTTCCCTCTCCCCAGAACAGCTCATCTAACTGGGGGCCCTGGAGCCAAGAGGGCAGGTGCGGGCACACACGCAGAGGGTCTGGGCAGACGCCCCACCCCCACCCCATGTCTAACGTGACTGCACACACCCAGTCTTGCGCTGTCAGGGTGGAATTCCATGCGTGGGTGGCTTTGTCAAGTACAAAAATAGATCATTCGGTGAGCACTCAGAATCCTGACCGCCCCGGGCCTCAGAGGCCATCTGGGCCACCCCGTGCTCCCAGTCTCTGTGGCCTCTGACTACAAGGCCACGGCTGGCCTTTCTTCCCCACGCCCTTCACGCTCTGGAAGCAGGGCTGATGGGGGGGGGGGGCGGCTGCTCGTTTTCTCCCAAGGCCTTGATCGCTGCTGCCTGTGCCTCTCGCCAGCCTGGTTCTGCCCATGAGTGCTCAGGCAGAGGGAGGTCACCCCCAGCGGAGGGTGTGCACACACATACACAGACACACGCACGCGCACACGAACACGGAAATGCACGTGGCCCTGGGAATAGTGGGATCACCCAGTGGGTGAGGGGTGCTGGGCAGGGGGGCAGCCCACAGTTCCTAGTGCTGAGGGCAGGGAGGGGGCCCTGGGGACCAGGAGGTGCCTGCAGGACGCAGGAGTGCAGGGACTGTGAGGGGAGCACCGGTGCCACAGACCTGGAAGGTGCTGGCAGGGTGGGGAGGACCTGGCCATGGGGTGGCAGCTTTGACTCTGCTCTACCCAGCCCCTTGTAGGGGCCACTTTTTGGGGTACAGGGGTCATTAGATATGGCTGGAGGTCTCCGGGGGCCAGATGAGCTAGGCTACTGCTCTGTGGCCCATGGAAGAATGCTTGGAGTATAAGAGTGGGGCTGGGTTGGCTGCTGAGGGTGAGACCTGGGAGAGGGGCGTCCCAGACAGTGAGGCCTGCTGTGGACCCCTCTGACTGGAGTCCACACAGCCTCTGTGCATAGTCCTGAGAGCCCAGGGAGGCTGCGGACTCCCCTGATTGTCACTGTCATGGCTGGACTGTGGGGCACCTTCGCCTCGGAGTGGAGATCCCGGGAGACCCCTCTCCTCCACAGGGGACCATTCTGGCCCCTGCTCTGGGCTGGCCTTGGGGGCTGAGTGTCCTGGGGAAGCTGCTGGCCCCTCAGGGTCCTGCTGCTACTAAGGAGTTGAAGCTGGGCAGGAGCAGCTGGGGGGGGTCACCTTGGCTGTGGACGTGACCCTTGGGGCAGAGGCCGTGGGATGAGGGGCAGGCGGGTGCTGCCCAGGTCCCAGAGGTTCCAGTCCAGGAAGAAGAGGGAGCTGGAAGCCCCGTCACAGGCCGAGGATCCCAGGGAGGAGAACACCCTGGCCAGTCCCACGCACAGAAACGTGGCATGTCTTCAGCTCCAGGGCCCAGGGCAAGGTTCTCGGGGACTGAGTCCTCTTGGGAGCTGGCTTCCAGGGTCCCGGGCTGCTCTCCCACAGCCAGGGGCAGGTGCTGCCTTCCTCGGGGGAGGAGGAGCAGGGAGCGTGACCTGGCTGCCCCGGCTCCCCCACGGTGGCCGCAGAAGGGGTGAGAAGGCCAGGGCGTGGCCATGATGCTCTGTGAACACCAGCCCGGAGCGCCCAGCTCGCGGGGCCCCCTGGCGGTTGCTCAGGGGAAGGGACGACAGGATGCCAGTGTGCTGAGGCCTCTGGCAGGCTTTGTCCAGCATCTCCCGGGGCTAGGCCTCTGGTGGGGAGGCGCCTCTGTCCTCTCTCCAGACGCACGCCGTGCGTGAGAGCAGCCAGCACTGCCGATCCTGCCCTCTCGTGGCACCCGGCCCTCTCGGCGATCAGGAAGGCACTTTGGACCAAAAAGGAAAGTGCAGGGCCTGCTCCCTGGCACTGAGGAGTGGCTCTGGGCCTAGGCGGCTGACCCAGACCCTGCCGAGCCTCCCCCCCAGGGCACCTCCCCCCAGTTTGTGTGTGGAGAGCGGGGTGGGGGAGAGGGGGGTTGTGACAGGGCACCGTCCTCATCACCCGGAGTCAAAGCCTCAACTCCGTGTCCCGCAGGGTCTCCACCCTGCCTCCACCCCAGGGGCCCCAGGGGCCCCAGGGGCTCGCAGGCATGGAGGCTCAGTTCCTGTCTGGTGAGGGGCTGTGGGCAGTTTACGGGGGTTTCGAGCAGACTCGTGTGCACACACATGTGATGCACAAACATACATGTGCACACACGTAACACACAAGCACAACACTTACACACACACACGTGCACACATGCACACTTTCCCTTGCCTCCTGGGCCCCATGATCGGTCCTGGGATTTCTCTTTCTTCCTCGCAGATTTTGCACACAAATAAAAATTGCACTTTTGTTCTCTGAGTTGGCACATGGAGGACAGGGCCGTGGACTTTGGAGCCAGACCTCGATCCCAAGCTCAGAGCCGCTGATTGCTAAAACTTCTCTGGGCTTCCGTCTGCTCATCCGCAGAACGGGGACATGAAGAGCACCTTCTGAGAGTGACAGCTCTGCCCGTCTCCTTGTGGGCGGGACCGGGCCCTTGTCAGAGGAGGAGGACCAGGTGAGACTTTAGCTGCCGTGGCCTCCCTGAGGGTGCGGCTGCCTGCGAGGGAAGACGCCCAGGCGGCGGGCAGGTGGGGCCGGGGGGCGGCTCCCCTCCTCACGATCTGTCCTCCTTAGGAGACAGGTCTGCCCACACTGCCCGCAGGCTTAAACCAAGCCTCTGGGACGCGGCTCCTGCCTCCTTCTCCAGCCTTGTTCCCTCCGTTCTCAGCCTCCCTCCTGGCCCCACGGCGGTGCCTAAACCTCAGCTGTCCCGCGGGCTCCCAGGAGGGGTGGCCACCCTGGGGTTAGGACTGGCCAGGCCGGCATGTCGGGGCTGGCTCCAGGCTGCAGGTGGGAAGGAGGCCGGCCTCACTCTCCAGGCCTGGGGTCGGCCAGGCTCACCCTGGACAGGTCAGTGCTGGTCCCATGTGGGGAGGTGCCAGGACACCCCCATTCCACGATCGGCCCTCCCTGTCCCCTCCGAGAGCACAGCCGGGGCCACTTCTCCCTTCTGGGCCATTCCAGCTGCTGCACATTAGGTCTGCTGGGCCACAGGGGCAAAGGGGGCAGAAATGACACGGTGACAGCGTCAGCCGCTCTCTGACGGTGAGAAGCTGAAATTCCTGACCCTTGCACGTGGCCAGGAAGGCTGACATCTCCCTGTAAGGCCTGGGCTTTCCTCCTGACACCTGCCTGCGACCAGCTGCATCAGTGGAGCCGAGTGCCTGGTGGTCACCACGAGGGGAGGGCTGCAAACTCACACCGTGCCCTTGGGCGGCAGGGTGCCCCCAGCCCGGCGTCAGCCCAGGGACCCTCCTGTGGTCTGTGGGCCCCCAGCTCTAAACCCTAGACTTCTGGGTTCCGATCCTCTACCTGCCTCCTACTGTGCATCGCAGTGTACACGCCAACTGCGCAGTGGGTCACCTTCCCCGCCCTCCCGCCTGTGGCCTCGGGCGCTTTGCCTCTACGGCCAGCAGCTCACACTAGGGAAGCCTCTGCAGGCCAGCCCTGTCACCCACTGACCGTCACCCTAGGGTGTCAGAGCTGGGAGGGGACCTCATGTGAACCCACCTCCTGGTTTACAGATGAGAAAACCTGAGGCCTGAGAGGGAGGACATGGCTGGCCTGAGGCCATCGGACAAGTGGCAGAGTCGGGGTCAAACTCAGGTCTCCAAGGGGGTGCCCTCTGCCCTCCAGCAGCTGCCTGGCACATCCCACTGTGCTCCCACCTCCAGGGGCACCCTCTCCTAGCTGCACCTGCCTCACACAGGCCCTGACTGTCCCTGTCCCCACACCCTTGTCGGAAGCCTGTCCAGGCAGCCTTCAACCCTCTGGGTTCCTTTTTAGCGGAGTCCTCTTCTCTGGGGTATGCAAGAGTCTGGCTGTGAACGGGGGAGGGTCCCAAAGGCAGTCAAGGGGCCTCCGGGGTTCCAGCCCAGGCCAGGGCTGGCCCCTCTGCCCCTTCTGCACACCCCAGCTCGCCTGCAGCGAGGCCCCAGCCCCCGGGGCATTGCTCTGCGGCAGGATTGGCCAAGGATGGCAGCAGGGAGGAGCCGCGGTACCATCCCTCCCCTCTAGACCTCACTCTCCTAACACAGAGAGCCCAAGCGCTGCCTACGAGCTGGGAAGTCCCAGGGAGCCCGGCCCCTCCTGCGTGGCTGAGGGCCTCCCACGCCAGGCAGCCCCGTTCTACGCCAAAGGACACAACGGATCGGGAAGGAGGTAGCAGCCAGGGTGCCGTCCTGAAACAGAACACAGTGACTGGGGGGTTAGTCGGCAAGTCCGCACACGGCACTGGGCGGCCAGCACAGGTCCTGTCCTCCCACTCTGAGCTCGGGCCCGGCTCGGCGTCCGCCCCGGAGAGGCTGCAAGGCAAAATGAGCAGCGGATTAATCTGCTGATGGGGGGAGAAGCGTGAGCGGTCCCCAGGCTGCCCCTCGGCTGCGCGCCCTCACTAAGGAGCTTGGAGGGGGCCCTGACTGCTTTGCAAGGGTATGAAGCAGACGAATTAAAAAAACTCAACATAATGGAAAAGAAAGAAAGAAAGATGCTCAAGTGCTACTGAGACTCACTCAGGTGGGAAAGGCCGGGCCCAGGGCCGAAGGGGGGGGCGGGGGCTGCGGGCTATCGTGTTTAGGACACGCCTGGTCCCCGCTCGGACAGCGCCGGCCTAGGCCCAGCGCACACGTGCCAGACACGCAGGGTGGACGAGGCCTCGCCTGGAGTCTCTGCTCCCTGACTTGGAGTGAGGGAGGGGCCCCTCAGCGGGGCTGGCCTGGCTGATGAGGTGTCCTGGCTGGAAGTTCACCGGAGTGGCAGTGGCGGTGGTGCCGGGAGCCCGTGCTGGCCCAGTGAGGGGCTGTGTGCCATGGTCCCTTGAGCAGAAGCTGCCGTGTTCCTAATCTCAGGGCGGGCAGGACAGGTGGGATTCTGGGGGCGGGGCTGCGGGGGGGGGGGGGCGTGGGGCCCTGGCCACCGGCTGGGGCAGGCCGGCAGGGGGCAGTGGTTGTTCTGAGGCTGAGTGTGAGGGGGCTTGGGGAGGAGGGGAGCAGGAGGAGAGATGGCTACTGGCTCTGTGACAGGGAGTCACGCTTCAGGCACCTGCAAGAGAGGGGAAGAGAAAAGCGACACAAAAGCATCCTACAAAGGAACAGACCCGAGCACAGCTGGAAGGAAGGCAAACCTTTGAATCAGGTCCTTGAAATACAAGCTGCAGGAAGCTAGAACATTTTGGTGGACTTCAAACTCTCTGCCTTCAACAACAAGTTTCAGGTCTGTGAAGGCTCTGGCTCTGCGCTGTTGGTTCAGCTCCTTCAACATTTCTGCAGAACAGAGAAGACAGACAGGGCCACGTCCCCATTAAGAGTTTTCTTGTATTTTTTTTTAATTAAAAATATTTTTCAAGAAGTAGAGAAATCGGAAATACTTGATACTGTTTTCTTGGCAAGACTGGCTCAACACGGACACTCAAAAGAAGTCACAAACATAGGCGGGAACAAGCAGCCGCGGGGAGGGGCTACACAGCCAGAGGAATCACAATTTTCAAAAGCAAAAAACAAAAACAAAAACAAAACCAGAAACCAAAAGCCAACCCCCACGGAAAAAAAACAAAAACAAAAACAAAAACAAAACAAACAAAAAAACCCCCAAGTACAATAAAAAAATGAACCCCAGAAATCAAAAGGCAGAGGGAAAGAGTCCCAGTCTGACAATCGGAAACGTGGAGGATACGTTATCATAGACAACTAAAGCTGCCCTATAAATGCAAAACAGGTTCTCCAAGTGCCAATGGCGCAATGCATCAGGTACCGAGTAAAGCATGGCATTGTGGTGTAGCGTGGGCTGGGTACGGTCCAAAGAAGTAAAACCACAAAACCTGCAAAAACAGCATCCCTGCTGTTAGACACTCAGAGCTGTGGCGTGGGGAGAGCTCCCCGGGGCAGCCGAGTGGGGGCCAGGCACACACCTCCTTCCAAATCATACTTCCAGGCACTTCCGGAGGAGCGAGCAAGCAAGGGACGGGACTCTCCACACCCCTTCCTGTTCCCGGGACTCCCACCCTGGCTGGGGCTCAGCCCTGCGGAGCCTGGTTTGCAGCCCTTGAGGGTCCCAGGAAGTGGTCTCCGGGGCCTCCCCACCCTGGCGTGCACCTACCTTTGCCTGGTGTCTTGGCCACCTGGGGCTGGCATAGACAGTACCCAGGCCTGTGGGCTCCAGACCTGGGGATGTCAGACGCTTCTACCAGACCCACCCCAAGGTTTAGAAGAGAGAAGGAAGGAAGAGCCTGCCCATGACCTGGGACCTTATTTAGCTTCACTTGTAACAGGCAGGGTCTCAGGTGACCAAACTGCCCCCAGCCTTGCCTCACCTGCCTGCCCCAGGACCTGCTGGTCAAGGACTACCCTCAGCACTCCTGGTAGCAGACCAGAATGACCTTGACTGTCAGCAGCAGGGCTATCTCCTACCATAGGTGAGTGGGAGAGGGCTGCCTGCAGAGCTGAGCCGGGCCCTCCCGGAGCCCTGCCATCACCCCACACCTCCAGGTCCATGCTGATCCTCAGCCGCTGTTCTAGACTCACCCCCCGGCGTGCCCTGACCAGTCTTCTGTCCACGTGGCCCAATGTCAGCCAGCCTGCCAAGTCTCCCTGCTGGGTTTGCCTCTGACGCCTGGATGTCCTTGGCTAAGCCCCTGAACCTCAGCTCCTGGTGACCAAGCTAGGACCAGGGCTGGAAAGGGGCTTGGTGGGCCTTGGCTGTGGCTCTGAGCTTGCTGAAGACCCAGGAGGATCCCTCAGGACAAAGCCACACGGGGACTGAGGTGTGGGCCCTGCAGCTTCCAGGGACAGGGGCCAGGCTGGAGGACAGATGCTGGCCGGCACACAGGCTGGGGGGGGGCAACAGGGATTCCGAGGGGCCAGCAGGCTGGACTTCAGGAGCCTCGCCATGGTAGATGGAGCTTAATCCTGGGGGCACCACGGAGACGTGGGAGATGTGGCTTTCTGATGAAATCACACAGAGCCGGGATGGAGAGTGATTCAGGAGTCTGGATGGGAGGCAGGAAAGCAAACGCAAAACAGCTTGGCCTCGGGGCTCCTCTGGAGTGTGAACCTGAACTTGGCCTCCCATTAGGGCACGTGCGCTTGGGAAAGAAAAGAATCAACATCCCCAGAGGCTGAGTCTCCTCACCGAAAGCTAAACGAGGTAGCACAGGCTAAGCACGAACCTGGCATGTTGGCAGCACCCCACTGGAGGCCAACTCGAGTGGGTGGTGGTGGTGGTGACCTTCGCCTGACCCCAGTGAGGCATGAAAACGGCCAGAACTTCAAGAGAAGGCAAAGAAAGAGACGGACACAGGTGTGGGCGCGGTGGCCCTGGGCGCCAGAACAGGCAGGGAGGGGCGTGTGTGCGACACCCAGGAAGGGGGAGAGAGGAGTTTAGTTTTGGGTGGGTCTGTGGGAGGCCAGGGGAGGGGGAGCAGGTGGGGCGCAGAAGCCTGGGCTGGAGACGAAGCTGTGGGGGCCAGCAGAGGCGCAGGGCACGGACGGCACTGCAATGGACGGCACAGCGCAGGGACGGCCACGGCGGAACCTCTGTGCCCACACCACGCACGTCAACTCCAGTCAGAGCCAGCAGCTGGCTCCATCCCTGGGTCGTTCATTTCCCTCGTGGGGCTGGCTGCTCGTCACCCATCCCTCAAGGCCAGGCCTGGTGCTCCTTGGTCCCAGGCCCTGCGCCTCCTGTCCCCGCTGCCTCCCGCACCCCGTGCCCTCCGCCTCCCTTTGAAGGCCCCCACAGCGGCAGTCTGCACTTGCTTCCTTGGAGCGCGCTATGTGTTGTAATCATTTATTTACATGCCTGCCTCCCGCGGCCGGCTGTTTTATTTATATTTTCATCTGCAACGCCCAGCACGGGGCCTGGCATATGCATAGGCATAGCCAGCGTGGTGGCTGCAGAGTTCTTGCAGCTTCCCCGGTGGAGGGGTGGGCGTCATCTCCCTGCCCTTTGACTCCTGGCTCACCTTTGATTCGCTCTAGGGTGCAGAACATGGTGGGAATGGCTTTGTGCCCGCATAGCCCTGGCCTCAGGGAGTGTTGCTGGCTTCTGTTCATATCTCAAGGCCCCTGCCACCCAACGCCACGTGGAGGAGTCGGGGCTGGCCTGGTGCAGGGTGAGAGGCCTGTGTGGAGTAGAGCGAGCCATCTTGTGGGTGGCCGCCGCCGGTATCTGCCCATCCCACAGCCAGGCCAGCTGAGCCCACCCCAGTTAGCAAGCTGGAAGCATGATTTGAAGCCACTACGTTTTAGAACTATTTGTTATGCGGTGAGGTCTGACAGAGACAGAAAGGAGGCACAAATGCTCAGCGCGCTTTCCCCATGCCAGCTTCTCCTTCGCTAGTTCCGTCTGAAACTACTTCTGTTTAAAAGCATCGTGGATGGGGCCGCTGCTGTGGCATAGTGGATTAAGCCTCCGCCTGCAGCACCGGCGTCCCAGATGGGTGCCAGTTCGTGTCCTGGCTGCTCCACTTCCTATCCAGCTCCCTGCTGATGGGCTGGAAAAGCAGTGGAAGATGGCTCAGGTGCTTGGGCCCCTGCACCCATGTGGGAGACCCGGAGGAAACTCCTGGCTCCTGGCTTTGGATTGGCCCAGCTCCGGCTGTTTCCGCCATTTGGGAAGTGAACCAGTGTATCGAAGACCTCTCTGTTTCCCCCTCTCTCTGTCTGTAGCTCTGCCACTCAAATAAATAAATAAGTCTTCAAAAATATAAAGCACTGTGGTACAATTCAGGGGCATGGGTCAGGAATGTCAAGTGCATTCACAAGGTCGGCCAACCATCACAGTACCTATCTCCAGGGCTCTCTCCATCTTGCAAAACTGAGACCCTGTCCTCATTAAACAACTCCTGGTCCCCCTTTCCCCAGCCCCTGGCCGCCAGCACTGCACTGTCCATCTCCTCTGGGGCCCATGAGGAACTGGAATCACATACACTCGTCCTCCTGGGACTGCCTTACTTCCTCACGCAGGAAGTCCTTGCTGTCCACCCACACGGCGTGGGTGATCACAGTTCCCGTCTTTCAAAGGCCGACTAGCGACGCGGTGTTCACAGATGCGGCATTTTGCGGCTGCTGGGCATCTGGGCTGCTTCCACGTTTTGGTCATGAGCACGCCTTCTGCTGGGAGGTTCCCGCGTGCACCCAAACCCCAGCCCCAGCCCCTTCCGGAGGGGTTGGTGTGCAATGGCTGGGTGGACCCTGTGAGCAAGAAACAGGGACGCCGAGGCCAGCCTGCGGGACTGGGAGCTTTGTTCCTGGGGGAGCGAGGCCACAGACGGCGCTGAGACGGGAGATGAAGTTGTAGCCAAACTTGTGCATATTTTTCACCAAACGACACACGTTTTTTGTCAGAGACTAATGGGCCGGTTCCCGCAGGACTGGAAGGGCTGTCTGGGGTGGTAATAAAGAGGAAGAGGTGGCAAATATTAAAAGGCGCAGGATTTCAGTGGCTCCGCAGTAGAGAAGTCCATTAAATCAGAGCCCCCAGAAAGGTTGGACGGCCAAATAATTTTTTTTTCAGAGCCTGGCTAGGTGATAAATGCTCTCGATCCCATTGGTATTTATGACACATATTTGATAAAGGACCCGAAAAAATTATAAACTCAGAGCAGTCGGGAACTCGACGGAGAAAGCCCAGCGAAGACCGCGTCCCGCTAGCCCAGAGGGTAATTCATCCGGGAGCAGGCCGCTGGACATGCGCTGACACCTCAGGGACAAATGGGGTCTTTCTGTGAACACAGCCTCCTGCGGCTGCCGAGCAAGGCCATGGCCACAGGGCCCCACCGATGCTGCTCTCCGCCCGCCCCCACCTGGCCCTCCCCCCGACCAGGTGCCTGTCTCTCCTCCTGGTTCATTGCTGAACAGGCTCCAGCTTCAAGGTAAGGCGCAATCAAAGTACCTGTGGGCTGCACCTGTGGCTGCACCTGCCACCTGCCGGCCCAGGTGCAGTCAGCGGGGCAGGCGCTCTGCTAGGAGGTCTCAGATGCCCCACGCAAGCCCTCCAGCTCCTTTTAGAGAGGAAAGCATGAGAGACCGACTTCCTGCCTGGACCTATGGCTTTAGTGGGCTGGTCTCTCCGTGTCCTGTTATCCAAATGGAAATCCCTGCCCTTTACCCGAGAGGAAACAAAAGCCCTACAGGGAGCCCCGCCGCTCACCAGCTGCCTTTCCCTAGCTGTCCACACTGGGTGATGAGAGCCATTTTCCCAGCAGTGGATTCTGGCACCAAAGTCCTCACTGTGTCTCCAGCCCCAGCCCAGGGCTGCACACCTG